TATAATGTATATATTGTTTTTATTTTATTTTTTTAAACCAAAATACTCATCGAACACTCGTCAGCCTACCACCTTTCCCCATTTGACTGTAATAGAAATGAAGACCTAGAATTATCAGTAATTAGATATTTCTGTCACCACCTAAACATCTCCCCAGTATCAATTTATGAAAGGGTATACAATTTTCTCCATTTCTATCAATTAACGCGGATAAAGATATATAACCATAGAGGAAACGTGAACTAAAGATAAATTACATTGATTAATATCTGATGTGGAACTCAGAGACTTAATAAATGAAACATTGGGGGTTGACGACAGAGTAAATGAAGGTAAGAAATCATCAACTCTTTGTCAATCTTAGTTTTTTATAACATAACATACAATATTTGGAAGATAATTTTACCTGATTATTACTTGCAGAAATGTTGTCTTTAAAGATGTTAGCAAAAATTAAAGATGATGAAAGGAATAAATCGAAAAAAAGCTTTAAGACTGGAGACACAATCATGTACCTTTGAATTTGCTTGAACTTTTGAATTTCGTATTCGTTTGTGAGTACTTGTTTGAAATTTTGAAATTCGAATTAGTTAAATATAAGCTTTAATTATGGGAAAACTATTAATCTAATTTATGATTATTTACTATGAATAAATAACTTATTTATTTTATTTGATATACATTCCAAAATAGATCGACGTGGTAATTGTAAAGATATAAGATTAAGCTTCCACTTATAACTTTGTTGAATACGAATGCACTACAGGGACTTATAATCTTTAAAGTGCTATAATATCAATTTATTAGTATTATGTTTTTTTATTATATAAAATGATAAAATACAAAAACATTGGGTTGCAGATAGCAATCATGTTGTCCTAATAATGTGTTGTATCATAGTTTACTTAATAAATATAAAACCCTGCATATGTTTCAGAACTTTATCCCAAAATGTAATAGATATTTATGCCAATTGTCCATCTCTCAGCAAACACAAATACCCTAAAATAACACCAACAAATCGAAGTCCATGTTTGAGCACCAAAGCATGTGGATTCCTAACAGTGATATATAGTGAATTCTCCCAAATGGTGTATTTAAATTAAACATATTATATAGCTTATGATTTTTACTTTGAATGTCTAGACTCCTTAAGGAAGCATTCATTCAGTCAATGATATAGAAGAATTTACCCAATTCTGATCATCTCGTTTCCCAATTTCCCCTGACAAAAATACCTTTATACCCCTACCGGCGTGTTTTGAAAACTTAGATTCAATAATGAAATATAGAATTGATTTTTTTTACTATTTCAAAAGTTTTTGTTAAGTTTAGATTCATAAAATATTAAATATAACAATGTACTTCCAGAAACAATCATTTTATAGGATGTGATGTAACATGTCATCCCATCTTTTAAAACATTTTTGAATCGATAGAGGAATTTTTTGTGAACAGAAGATTGTATCTTGCTCCCCTAAAAAAAGTATAATATATTAGAAACTTTATAAGTAATTCATTTTTAAAATGTATGTGTAACAAATCCATAAAATTATATTTGTAAGATGCATGTTCATCAACCATGATTAATTCAATGGTCCAAATTCCATCCTTGTTGTAGAAAGACATGCTTCCATAAGTTTATGTACTTTGAGACTCAAATCATCCTTGAGTACTTCCAAATCTGCTATTAAGGAGAAATTTGATGCAACCACCTCTCTGCAAAATTTTGAAATTATATAACTTTTGATTCCAATTAAATAGTTATTAGCCATTTTTAAGTAAAAATAGGATGAACACAACACAACACAAAAAAAGGAGATGCAAAATTAAGACGACAATAACACATACATAAAGGAACATAAGCAAACATGTAAGGTTAATGGGAGCATTGGATGTACATGAAATAACACAGAAACACGAAGTAAACAATGAAATTTTTACAGCTTTTTTCTATAAGAAAACATAAAAGGGCATAATTGTCCTTTTATAATAAAAAGAAAAAACGACAGTTTTTTTTTCTAAGAAATAATGATAGTTATTTGGTATAAGATAACATAAAAGAGAATAATTGTCCTTCTATATTATAAAAATGACAGTTTTTTTTTAATTATTATTATTATTTGTATAGTAGACAATATGTATAAGCATCAAGAAATCTAAGATGTCATATTGTCATATTAAAAATGTTATAAGTTTGTTGTGATACACAGTTATATAGCTTATGATTTTTGCTTTGAATGTCTAGACTCCTTAAGGAAGCTTTCACTGAGTCAAGTATATATAAGATTTTACCCAATTCCGATATCTTAGTTCTCAATTTTTCCTGACAAAAATACCTTTATACCCCTGCTAGTGTGTTTTGGAAAACTTAGATTCAAATATGAAATATAACATTAATTTCACATTAACAATTATATAGTAAAGATATTCACCATAGAAGACACATGATTAATTCCAGTTAAATGGTGAACAAAATCAATAACATTTAGAATATCGTGTAATAACAAAGTTTACAGAGAATTAATATATTAAATGTGGATTCCTATAAGATAACACACACAAAAGAAACAAAAAGGAGAATAATATATAAATATTCAAGATAAGAATACATGATAAAGAAAAAAAACTTTGACATACTTGTTCGGGGGATGATTTACTAGAATTGCAGCTTCTTTTTGGGTTTAGATACAAAGTAAATGATAAAGACGGCAAGGCTTGGAAATTTTTATATGGGTTTTGTATTTATAAGTGAAATAAATCATTCGAAGATAATATTGTAATCGACTTAATTCATATTATGATGTATATATATATTTGGAAAAGATAAAGTAATTCAAAAACCATTGCTGATTTTATGTGATATGATTGATGTATGAAAATTAAAATAAAGTTTAATGCAGGGAGAATATTGTAACCGATTGCTGATTAGTAGGAGATTGTGTGGATTCGTCAAATCAGCAATGAGTGGGAAAATAATCTTAAGATTGCTATGGAATGGACACGTGGAAAGGAGGAGGCTTATAAGGAGGACAAGTGGATGTTTAGGAGTCTTTTATTAGAATTAGAGATTATTTGTTTAAATTTAAAAAAGAAAACAAATTAATTTTAACAGTTTAATATTTTTTTTTTACTTTTCTTATAAATTCAAACTTAAATGTTTAGAATTTTATATTTAATTTTTATTTTAAATAAACTCATGTAATACATGAGTTTCACACCTAGTTATATAATAAAAGTAATTAAACATATATCAATTGCATAATAATAATAATAAAATAACAACTTACACAATAACATTTAAATATTATTACCAGTTAAAATAATAAGATTATATATAATAGTATAGTTAACCTCAGTTTTTTTAGAATAGTTATGTCTTTCTTTGTAGTAATAAAGGATAACGGAATATACTTTTTCTACCCTTAAGTAATGATAAAATCTTACATCAAATATACTCTTTCTTTGTAGTAATAAAGGATAACGGAATATACTTTGAAAGTATCCAATTCCACCCTTAAGTAATGATAAAATCTTACATCAAAGATACATTTTGAAAGTATCCAATTCCACCCATTTGATAACCAAAGGCATTACATAAATGAATCTTACATTCAATTCCTTTGGATTCCATCAAAATCCCCGAACATGCAAAATATCAATGAATATTTGGAAGTAATGGTTTTATGTATAAAGTTTTTTTTAATAAAGTTATTAAAATATCAAGGATAGTTTTGTGATTTTAAGTTCTTGTTTTGTTGTGTCCCATATTGGTGGTAAATGATCGACTAATACAAATGAAGTTGACACTTTTTTTTAATTACATAACAAATTGACTTTCATACCCTTCCAACCATTTTAATTTATTTCTATAAGAATGCACTTTTATCAAAAATAGCTACGTACCATTCACTTTTACAAAATTTCCTAAATTCAAACCTCGTGACCCTCTTTTCAGCATACCTAAATCTAATTTAGACCAAATAAAGAAAAAAAAAATTGGATTTAGATGAACTAAAAAATGTAAAAACACTTTGGATTTTCCCTAAAAACATCAGTTACTCTCACTTATTTTTAATACACTGCTCTAGGCAGTTTAAAACTGTTTCTTCACACAGGAAAACAGAATGATATCTCTATACCTTTATTAACTTCTAATTGCTACTACTTACAAAACGAGTTCTTTATAAGGGGGTGTTTGACTTAGCTTTTCACAGCCCAAAAGTCCTTTTTGAAAAAGTCACAAAAAGTTAGGTTTTCCTGACTTTTTCAAAAAGTTCTTTTTCCTTGTAACAAAACTCAAAAAGTAGCTTTTAAAACTAGTTTTGTGAAACATCTTTTGTTTTTTTTTTTCCAAAAAGGATTTTTGGCTGTGAAAAGCTAAGCCAAACACCCCTAAGAGTAATCAATTTGACAATTACTTTAATAGTTTCCAATGAGAGTAGTTTGCTTTGTTACCCCAACTGAAAATCATTTTCAACAATGTATTTTGGGTTCCATGAACATCTATAAATGGTTTCAGCTTCTCTATAACCAGTTTTGGCTTTTCTCCATTGAATTCAAGAAACTCCACCATTTTTAAATCATTAGGAGTCAAGATTCTCCTTGTTGCAGCTTCATCTAACTTCTTGTATTCCACCCCAACAAATTCCTTATTTGTCATCAAACAAAAACATAAGTTTTACTTTTGCATGTGAGGTGTGAAAATTTAAAACTAATGTTTTTTTATTTCTTGGAAAACTTATTTGTTGGCTCAATTGCTTTTCATACAATAGGTTCAAAGCGTGAAAGTGACCCATCATGTTTCAAGAATGTGATGCACAAAAAAATACCTTTTTAACAATCAACTTGAGAGACTCCAACTTGGGATAATAATTGAGAATTCGGTTTAGGTCATCCATGGTGAAGGCATCAATTGTTGTGATTAACACCAAAGTCTTTAGATTAGGTAGATAAATGCACTATGATAATGATGCCAAATAAGAGTTTGGAGTTATTATTTATGGTGACAAAAAGCATAAAGAGGAACTATCATGCATAAAGAGGATAAGCATGTACGTGAAATCAATTTGTTTGACATTTTTCGTAATGGCGGCATGGATACACTGCCCTATGGTCGATGAATTGCAGAGGTCTGAACAAAATAAATGCAACCTATCAAAATCCACGAATCTGTTTACTAAAATCCAATAAACAAACTCTTTGAATTTCTTCATTGGATGGTATTTGTCTGGTAATTCTGGGTAACGTAATTCTACAGAGGGAACTAAAGTCCAAAAATATCTCCATCTTGTGGACAAAATGCTGGTTCGAATTACTTCTTCAATAGATGAAAGGCCTGAAAGAATCAAGAGAAGAATATGATCCGACATGTTATTGATCAAATCGACTCCATCTTCGCGTATTGATGCATCTGGTCGCTCGAATTTCTTCATGATTTAGGTGACGTGAATGAAAATTATTTAGAGAAAGCAAACAACCTTTGGTCACAATATACCTTTATTTTTAACTCCAAAACAACAATCTACTTTTATTATTTTACTTAAAATTAAGTTGTACACGTTAATGAAATTTCGTTGAAAAAGAAAATGAATCGATGAATTTAGACTCATTCTTAGTGATATTTGCTTATGCATTCCATCTTATTTTTAATGACATGTTTCCTTAACTTTTAACATGACGTGTTTCCTAAAACAAATTAATTGTTATTGAAACTAATCACTGCGAACCGAAATGAAAATAGATTCCAATACAAAAGTATTAGTGAAGAGAAACTAATTATTGAAGAGAAAAAATTCCAATTCGATTATGTTTCACGATAACAATCAATAAAGCTGAAGGATAAAAATTCCAAAAATAGGTATTTATCTTTTAGAATTGGTTTTCTTGCATGACCACAACATTATGTGGCATTATCCAAAAGAATATCACGTGTTAAAACAAAAGTATTAGCGAACCATGACAAACAATTCAACGGCAGTGTAGTCAATATATCAAATGTGGTGTATAAAATTTGTTGCACGATTAATAATTCACAATCAATCATGGGTTGATGTACATTTGTAAACAATCATAAATTTTCATTTTTTTAATTCTTATAAATAATTGTTTAGATGTAAACTATTTGCGCAAAAAACCAATCGCCTTTAGAAACTAATTTATGAAAAAAAAACTATTTGCACCCGTTGCTTGGCGCGGGTAAACGGCTAGTATGTATGTGTGTGTGTGTGTGTATATATATATATATATATATATATCTTATGTTAATAAAAGAATCCTTTTGATGACATGTCGCTCCTACAATTTGCTTTTCATACATTACTTCAATACCCTTGATTATTATAAACTCCGTTTTCCCGTCTTTCATTTACCCTTTTAACTTTAAACCTTTGAGAATCCGGTTAACAACAAAACGTATTGCACCGATTTCCTGATATTTTGGGATTTCTATCAACTGCACAGATTATTATAGGTAACTCTATCTATTCAATGTATTCCACCAGAAATTAGCAAGTAGACTTCTCCAATTTTGAAATTAATCGGTTCATATATGTAACTACATATTATCTCTATATTTTATATATTCCTCAAGCAACTAATGCTCCTTTTCTGCCAAGCATTCTTAATTTCAAGAATGTGGTTTTTGATTTTTGAATCCAAAGGTAAGTTACGTTCTTTAGTTTCTTTCTTTGTTGTTTGTAATTTTTAAACATTATGTTGTTTGAGTTTTTCATTTTAGGTCTTCTTTCATATAAAGGAAGATTGCCACCCCAGTTACAATTTTCCTTTGTTTTTCTTGAATATTGGTGGTTTAATAACAAATGTTTTTTACGACTTTATGTACTGATGGAATTTGGAGGCAATATTCGATATCTTTATGCATCCCCATCTCAAGCCCAACAACTACTTGATGTAAGTCCTAACCTAGAATTATGGATAAAAGTTTTTTGGTTGGATATTTGCAACAGGTTCCATAGCATACATCATGAAATTGGTTCATAAATGAGAATATTTCTTTAATTAAATTTAACTTTAAGTCATGATATTAGTTGGTTTTGTGACATGTTTTATGACCTGAACTTTTAGGTGCACAATATTGCCTAAAAAAGAAAAGATTTCATTGTTAATAGAGTTCCACCAAGGGTTCATGGATGAATTCTGTGATTAGATGACATTGACATGCCACTTGCAACATTTAGAATCATACATATGATTTTTATCTAAGTTTGATCATTTACGAGGTTAAGCAATTAGAACCAAATACATTTAGTTCTATAACTTGCTATAGTGTAGGAATTGGTCAAGTTTAATATCTAAACAATATTTCCTTCTTGCAGGTCAAAGAGAAGTTTATCCCGGAATGTAATGGATCTTTGCAATCCGGGATTAAATTCTTTTTCTACTTTTGATATATTTTTTAATTTGATATACTAGACATTATTAAATAAATTTCCAATCGTTATGCAGATGGATACACATACTAATGAAGTAATTCAAGGAAGCAACTGCAAATGTAAGTGAGATCTATAATGGTTGGGTTTTAACTTAATTTATCAAGTTTTTTTCCTAATCAAGTTCTATTTTTATAAATGATATTAAATCTTTGTTTTAATATTCATCTTGTATGGGAGTTTTGTGTTTCAGAACAACAAGAAGGATGTACCCAAGCTCATTGCTAAAGTTTGGCGTGACATGCTTTACATTACCTCTGGTGCCCTCTTCATCCCTAAATTTCTTTACACTGTGTTGTTGTTTAATACCTCCTGGCCCATTATTTTTATCCAATTTTACCGTGTAAGAAAAAATATGTGTGTATGTTTATAAATTTTTACATGTATTAATTTTGTTATGTTTGGTTAACTTATATGTCCTTAGATATTTAGGCCTACTTATGAGAGTTTGGTGTACTAATCTTCTCAGTTACATCACCGGGTCATGTCCAATATGCATAGAAGCATCGATTGATGGGTAATATTTACATTAACTCACATGAATGAAAACTATTTGCATGCTTTGCTTGAAAATAAGATTGATTTTTTTTTCAATTATGCTATTATTTTGTTAAAAATGTTTTTTTGATTGTTTTAAAAAAATCTAAAATCATATTAATAATTTAAATGTTTTATAAATATTTTACCCATGGGAACCACAAGTTGTAACCTAGTATATATATATATATATATATATATATATATATATATATATATATATATATATATATATATATATATATATAAAATAAAATATGATCAAATAACAAGATAAGTTATAGAGTAAAGAAAGACATGAGAGTAGACAGAACTTTTATTCCAATACTTGTGATGAAATCATCAAAACTTTACAATACATAATATTCACTATTTATACTAGACAAAGAAGATGAAAGGTGATGTATGATATGAATGCTGATTATAGTGGTGCATAAATACACTCATAAAACTCATAATAATGTTTGCTATAATGTTCACTAATTATGGAGAGTAATGGGGAATACAGAGAATCCAATAGCCATTCACTAAATAATAATTCATAACACTCCCACTTGAATGACGATTGTATCATGCCTCGTTAAAACCATAATCGGTAAAACCTCATGGGAAAAACCATTTATTAAGGAAAAGAGTACATGATTAATAATAGATATTGGAAATAATTGCCTCGTTAAAAACCCTGCTAAGAAAACCTAGTGGGAAAAACATAACTAAGGAAAAGAGTACAATATGTTTCCAACTCCCCCTGATTAGCACATCACTTGATTTTCTTAGAGTACCGCATAACTATTTTTCGTACCATATTTTCAAATTTCGATGTAGGAAGTGCTTTAGCAAACCAATCAGGAAAGTTGTTACTGGATTGAATTTTCTAGATGTTGATGCCACACTCTTTTTGAAGATCACAAGTGAAAAAAAAAACTTTGGTGATATATGCTTGGTGCTGTCTCCTTTGATAAATCCTTCATTTAAAGGAGCTATACAAGTTGTATTATCTTCATATAGTATGGTTGGAACATCCATGTTAGAAGTTAGACCATAATTCTTGCAAATGTATTAAGTTAAATTTCTTAACCAAATACATTCATGACTTGCCTTATAAATTGCTATAATCTCTGCATGGTTAGAATACGTAGCAATTAAAGTTTGTTTAACAAAATGACAAGAAATTACGTTACCTCCACAAGTGAATAAATAACCTATTTGGGATCGAGCTTTGTGTGGATCAGATAAATATCCATCATCTGCATAACTAATTAACTTCGCATTTTATGAATTTGATTAGTATAAATTCATATCCATTGTACCTCGAAAATATCAAAGAATGTGTTTGACTGTATTCCAGTATCTTCTTGTTGGACAAGAACTATATCTTGCTAATAAGTTTACGACAAAAGATTTATCATGTCTCGTATTAATAGTAAGATATATTAGTGCACCAATAGCACTAAGATATAGTTCTTAGGGAACAAGAATATTTTCATGTTTTTTATGATGCTGAAATTTGTCCTTTTTGGCATCTAAGTGCCTTACCACCTTCGGGTTACTCATGGATGTGAGTTATTCATATAAAAACTTTTTAAGCACCTTTTCTAGATAACTAGATTGATGTACAAAAACTTCATTTTTGGTGGGCTCAATTTGAAGACCCAAACAAAATTTCGTTTTACTAAGATCTTTCATTTCAAAATTTTCTTTCAAACAAGTGGCATTTTCCAATTCTCCAGGAGTTCCAATTATGTTCAAATCATCTACGTAAACAACAATTATCACAAATTCTGATTTAGATCTTTTTATGAATACACATGGGCTTAATGGATCATTTTTTATAGCCTTCTTTTAAAAGAAATGTACTTAAACAATTGAACCACATACGGCCAGATTGTTTCAATCTATACAAAGATTTATTTAATAGGCGGTAACTACATCCATCAGACGCATCTCCAATTTTTCATGTGTTGCCAGACTTATTAGATAACGGAATGTAATTGCATTAACCACAGGAGAGTATGTTTCTTCATAATCAATTCCGGGCCTTTGGGTAAAACCTTGTGCAACAAGTCTTGCTTTATATCTCACAACTTCATTCTTCTAGTTTCTTTTGCGCACAAATATCCATTTATGTCCCACTGGTCTTACTTTGTTTGGTGTACGGACTACAGGTCCAAAAACTTTTCATTGAGTAAGAGAATTAAGCTCTTTGATGATTGCATCTTTCCATTTTGGCCAATATTTTCTATTTCTACATTCATCTATAGATTTAGGTTCAAGATCCTGATTTTCTTCCATAATCCCGCACGCAACATGATATGAAAAGTTATCATCGACGTTTATCTTATTTTGGTTCCATCTTATTCCTGTCATGACATAAATTATTGAGATCTCTTCATTTTCATAATTTTCAGGTACCCCGGTTTCTTTTGTTATGTCATTAGGCTATTATG